GATTTCTGTTTGGTTCTTTTTATGATATCTCTTTGTTCAATTTCTCATTCAAATCATGAATTATTTTCCTGATTTTATTGAATTTTGTATATGTATTTTCTTGTATCTTACACTGAGTTTCCTTAATATTATTACTTTGAATTCTTCTTCTGGTATTTTGTATATGTCCTTCTGATTGGGGTCCGTAATTGAAGAATTACTGTGTTCCTTTGGAGGCGTCATGTTTCCTTAATTTGTTATGTTTGATGTGTCCCTGCATTGATCTATGCATCTGGTAGAAGAATCACCTCTTTCATCTTTATGGAGTAGGTTTTGCAGGGAAAGACCTAATCATATATAACAAGGCCTGGGTGCATGTCTGATAGGGGTGGCACCCAGGGCTGTTTCAGCAGGGTGTATTAGCTTTGGTTCTAGGTGGGCATAGTAGTCTAGTCTCTATGTAGTTTCTTCAATTGTACATGCTAGTGACATCTGTAAGTAACTCAAATGTCTTAGGCTAAGAGAGTTTATGGTAGTGGTGCAGTTTGGTTAGGGGTGGGCTTGCTGGGCTGTTTCTCAGCTCAGGGGTGCATGTGTGGACACGGTAGGTCAGCCAACTTGGGGTCTGGCTCGCTAAGGGCTGGAGCCATGTGGCTGTTACTCTGGCTTGAGGCATGGGCACATGGCTGCATGGCTGCTTGGCCTTGCCTGCTAGTGACAACTTGTGGGGCTGTTTCTAAGGCCTAGGATATGGCTGTGTGGTTTCTCAGCTGGCTGGGTGCATGTCTGATAGGGGTGGCCCTCAGGGCTGTTTCTCAGGTCAGAGTTGCCTGCTCAAGACTGCTTGGCTGGCCTGGGAGCATAACTGCCATGGGCAACCCGCAAGGTAGTTTCTCAGGACCGGAAAAAGAGTGCACAGCTGCTCAGCCAGTCTGGGACTATATTTGCCAGGGACAGCCTGCAGTGCTGTTTCTTGGGGACATGGCTGCTCAGCCAGCCTGGGAGAATGTCTGCCAGGGATGGCCCATGAAGCTATTTCTCATGGCCTGATTGTGGGTGAGAGGCCTTTGGGCAGGTCATTGGCATGTCCATGGATGGGGGTGCCACAGGGCTGTTTCTCAGGCTCTGGGAGCAAATGTGTAACCACTCCACCAGCCTGAGGATGTTAGCTGCTCAGTAGCTCAGAAAACTTTCCTGCTTGGGAGAGGGTTTGTAACTGTTTGGCTGGCTCAAAGGTGGGTTCACCCTGGACAGGACTGCCATACTGTTCCCCTGGCTTGAAGTGCAAGCAGAGGGGGTCAGTTTTCCTGCTGCATAAGACCAAAGTCACGGTCAATCATCAACCCAGACTCCAATCAGCTGGGACTGTAGTGTGCAGCCACATATGTGAGGTTGCTGGAATGCATATGGAGCCCCAAGTGCTGGAGAGGTGCAGTGGCTACTGACCCTCAGAGGAAGAGACACTCCAGAGGTGGCTCTGGCCTCAAGATGGTACCATACTGCAGCAGCTTGGCTCCCAGATGGTGATTAGGGGGTGGAGAGTACACACCTTGTGTTCCTAATCCAGAGCAATGCAGCTGCATCAATTCCTGGTAGCTCAGGGATTGCAAGGACTGTGGGATTGTCCTATAGTAAGGACTGTAGGTATTTGCGGTGGCAATGTGGGCTGGGGAAGTTCTTCTGTTTATCTTTTTTCCTGTCTCAGGGCTCATCTGATATGGCAGAGGAGAAGGGGCTGCAGAGGCTGAGTGCCTTGATGCTGCCCTCCTGTGCTACCAATCACCAGAGGAGCTTCTTCATTCCCCTGCTGAACTCTAGCACTTTCCCTTTGACACTCTAATCAAATCTTAGCTATTTATTCACTGCCTTGGTCCTTTCTTGTGGGAGGAACAAGTGCCAGGCATTTTTAGTCAGCCTTACTGTTAACATCCATAACTGTACTGATTAATCTCAACAACCAGACAGAGCAAAAGAAAGGCAGTCAAATTTTTAAAGAACTTGAAGATGGCAGACAAAAAAATAAATAAATTTAAGACCTAGGTTGGCAGTTCCCAATCATTCCTTAAGGACTCTCTTTGGCTCAACCTTTGAGCAAATTAACAATGGCTAACTTAATACATTGATATAGTTTGGATATTTGTCCCCTCCAAATCTCATGTTTAGATAATGAGCATAGTAATCCAGTTTCAGATGTCTTTCCATGTGTCTTCTGCTTTGCCTTTAACCAATGTGAAACGTGTTTATTAATTTTATTGCTTTTTAATATAATTATATCCCCATTTACTATGAGGAGTAGAGGAGGAAGAGAGGAGTTGGGATTTATTTTCATTTCTTTCAGGATGTAACATCAGTTTGAAAACAGAAATCATAAAATATTCAGGAGACTCAGAGTTAAACCCCTAATAGGCTTAACCACAGAAGGATCTTTCATTACGTGATCACATGAAATTGGGCCAATGACAGATTATGCAGTAAATAATATCCAGGAAAATATTCATCTATCTCTTCCTTTTACATACAACATTCTGCGTGACTGCATATTCTGTTATATGATCTCATTCTGAAAGAGAGTATTATAAATACATACAAGAAAGGGGTTATAGCTAAGTCAAAAGTGAAAAAACTCTTGACTTTTAAGCTATTAAATTTCAAACGTGTATTAATTTTTTGCATAAATTCAAATAACTTATATAAATAGTTGTTTTTAAAACTTAACCATGGCAACACCAGCCCAGTTCAACAGCCCATCTAGTCTGATACCCTGTCTTTGACAGTGACCAACGGTAGATGCCTCACAGGATAGCATAAATACATAACATAATGTATATAATTACACACCACTATACCTTTATCCCAAATGGTGATTAGAATACATTCTGAAAGAAATGAAAATAAATCCCAACCCCTCTCTCCCTCCTCTACTCTATAATTCCCCATAAGGTGATGGGAAATCTCCAATAAAGCACAGATTCAACCATAATCTAAGCCAATCCTTTATATGACAACCAACAAAGAAATGATCTCCTAAAATGAAAAGCTGCACCCAGAAATAGAACTTAAGTTCATCAAAACTTACAATTTGTAAAAGAGGATTTTCAGTGAAATGAAAATCATCTGATTCACTCAATTAAAAAGAATTATTTATAAAACAGATGAGCAAAATTTAACTAAAGCTTTAAAAAAAGAAAACTAGAATTTCTACCCAAGCCATGCCATTTTGTGATATTGTAATACTGTTTTCTAGAGCGCATGACAATGTCTGTATTTTTCACTCTTCAGAGAAATGACATTTTCACCTGTTTCACAATGGTTTTAAATGAAGGCTTGGATTTATTAAACGCTCATCTCAGTGCACAAAACTACATAATGAAGAAATCTGGGTTTGGTCCTTCAGGAAGCATTATTTCTAAACAATTATAGAGGAAAAAATGTACTATATTTTTAAAGACCTTTGGAGAAGATAATTCTCATGGTAGTATAAGTAAGTATTTATTTAACAGCGCTTGTAGTCAGGAAATAGTTCCTGATCTAAATCCTCCATGGTATAATTTGAATTCATTTTCTCTTTTTCTGACCTTGAATAAGTTGTAGATCAGGTTATATCACAATATTGCATACATAGTCATGTACCACATAATGATGTTTCCATCAGCAATGGACTGGTATTATATGATGGTGATCCCATAAAATTACAATGGAGCTTTTATACTGCATTTTTACTACACATTTTCTATGTTTAGATATACAAATACTTACCATTGTGTTACAATTGCCTACTGTATTCAGGACAGTAACATGCTGTACAGGTTCATAGCCTAGGATCAACAGGCTATACCATATAGCTTAGGTGTATAGTAGGCTGTACCATCTAGCTTTGTGTAAGTACACTCCATGGTGTTAGCACACAACAAAATTGCCTACGAACGCATTTCTCAGAACATATCCCCACTGTTATGTGGCACATGACTGTATCTGAAAACCCTTGTTAATGTCTCCTTTTCCAAGTTACTGCATTGCAGAGCTATGAACCAAATACCAGTCATGTACTGTGTTCAGTTTTATGATTTTTATATTCTATATATCATAGCCCAAGAGACAGATCTCAAAAATTACTTATCTATAATTTTTACCAAGAACTGCTCCTCTCCCTAATATAATAGACTCTTTCTCAAAAAGAATTATCTATATTCAGAACAAACCCCAAAATTTCAGAAAAGGAAGTTTATAAGAGATGGGAGCAAGGCACAATGCTTATAAAATTCCATGTAGACACCACTTCTTTCCCTAAAATAGGGGATCATTTAATGAAATATATCTCTCAACACCTCTGGGACACAGCTGAAATTGCAATATAATATCATAAAATGTGCAGCTGTGTTGCTGTGCTTAATAGTCCACGCTGCTTCCTTAGACCACAGGAAGCCAAAACACATACTTTCAGAACCAAATTTACCTTTACAGCAACTGGCCAAAGCAGCAGAGCAGTTATGATAGATCATGCATCAAAAGAGTTATCGAAAAGATCATATACACCCTTAGGAATTTTCTATTCAGTTTGCTCACTCCAGAAATACTGTTTTCAAATATAAAATCTTTTTTTCGGGAATAAAAACTACAGGATAGGTAAAAATGTCTTAGTAAGTTCTAAGTTCTGGTAGCCTAAAAAACAAACATTATTTCTCACAGTTCTGAAGACTGGGAAATTCAAGATCAAGGTGCAGGCAGATTCAGCATCTAGTGAGGGCACTCTTCCTGGTTTACAGATGGCCACCTTCTTGCCGTACTTTCACATGGCACACAGAGACATTATCTCTCTCATGTCTCTTCTTACAAAGGCATTAATCCTATCCATGAGGGCACTGCTCTCATGACGTAATACCCCATAAAGGCCCCACCTCTAAATACCATCACATTAAGGATTGGGTCTTCAGCTTACGAATCAGGGAGGTAGGAGGACACAAACACTCAGTCCGTAATAGCAAATAAATTTTACTATACAAAAATAAGCAGGAACAACTTACTTTTATTTCCAACCAAGGCAACCAGTGGCTGAGCTTCTGACTCCTCATTCACTTTCTTCACCACAGTATACCAATCTTCTAAATTCTCAAAGCTTTGATGATTTGTAATATCATATACCAAGAGGATTCCCTGTTACAAAAGAATTACAGAATATTTGTAAAGTGCTACTTGGAAAAAAAAAAAGAATACTCCTAAGTAATGCTTCAGATATGTCAAATTGAGTATAAAATTATAAATTGAGTATTTTATATATACAAATTGACTTTAATTTAGTTACTAGCAGATAAATAATACTAAAAGTTTTTATTCAAGATAAATCCAGCAATTAGGATGCAATGTAAGCTGAAATATAATTTTATCAAAATTATAAGTGGTTTCCCAATAAGATATCTGGAATATGTTTGGTAAGTTACAGTAAATATAAGAAAATCATATCACATAAGTTGAAAAGGCTGAAAGGCTTACAATCCTGCCTCTCACTTTCATGAGGTCAAACACTTAAACTTTTCAATAAATAACCATCTGCTGCTATTCTTTTTAAATATTTTCAAAAATGGAGATTCCATGACATCCCTTGATAGTCAATTTTAGTGTTTAACACAGTTTTCTTTAAATGAAATGTCGATTTCCTCTTTTAGTCCTCTGTGCATTTGGAGAACAACTTGAGAGTATCCTTCTTACAATAACCCTTCATATACTTGAAGATAGTTAAGTAACTCCTTTACCATCTCCTTTCCAGAGTAAACAAACTCAGTTCCCTGTGCTTTCCTCAAAGGGTCTATTTTCTGTCCCTTTAATCATAGTCGTTGATTCTTCCCAGGACACCCTACATATAGTTTTTTGACATCCTCTTTAAAATGAGCAATGTAAAACTGGACATAATACTGTAATAAGAGTCTGAGCAAAGCCAAATATAACCCAGAGATTGCTTCCTGCCTCTTATATATCATATTCCTTTTCATTTATCCCACTATTTTGTATGGGAAGGATGAGAAGTATATACACACACAAAAATAACAGTACCACATTCTTGAGTCTCATCCAGTTTGTAGTCAAACACTTAATACAAAGCTCGACATGTAAGTCTGGACCTTAATGGCATTTATGTCTATTTCTCAGGTTATAAAAATAAAAATCAACAACTTTTTTGCATCTACTATGTACAAGAATCATGTCTAGGTCTTTTCATTAATGCTTACAACAATCACGAAAGGTGGGTATTATTATTCCCATTTTACTAATAAATAGAGGTTAAAATAACCAAGGTCACACAAATAGGTTAAGTGATGAAGCCAGGATTTCAATCAAGGGCTAAATGAATAAAAACATTTGTCTGTCAACTATACTCCAAGCCTTGTGCTGGATGCTAGGTATATAAGTTCCAAAGCTCAAGGAACTCACAGTCTTGTAGCAAAACCAGACAAGTATTTTAAGACCATAGTCACAGCCAGTGATATGCCAGTAAATATTAATTGACTGGCTTGGGGTTCAGAGCACATTGGGGTGGGGAGTATTATCTGTTACATTTGCCAATTTGCATGGTTTAAATACTCCCTGTGGCCATTTTTAAGCTATCAGTGTGACATCACTGAACATGGAGTTGGTTAAGACACCACTATATAACATTTCTACCATACAGATATACATGTTAAAAAACCTCAAGAGCATAGATAACAGAAATACATAGTATAATAATTGGTAAATGCTATATTTTGAACATATAATATCTTTGTTTAATATAACTTATGATTATTTTTATGCAAAATCACTTGTCAAGTTCGTTTCGGTAACTTGGACATCTATTATTAACAATATTTCTGTCTCCCATCATGCTTTGAAATACTGTCCAATGCAGAATTACCTAAAATAATGAAAATAACCTCACTTTTTTTAATTAAGAATAAAGCCCCAAAACTGCCCTCTGAAAAAGGCTAATCTTCAGTCTACTGACCCCACCTCCAGTTGCCATGATTGATACTATATATTATTTGCTGAAAAGAGCTCTACCCTGGAATTCAGGTCACTATTGGCCCCACCATCTACTAATCTTGGGCAACGCTCCTGTTATTTCACTTTCAAAATAACGGACATGCCTATGTGGTAAAATGAAATAATAAAAATGGACTTATTTTTAAATTAACATACAAACAATTGCGGGGGATTTTTTTTGTTGTTATTATTCCGAGTGAATGAGAATTACATATTCATGGCAACTTTGAGATAGGCTTTAAACTCATAAAGAGAGCCTACACCTATGATTCTTAAACCTTAATATTTTTGGAACCCTGCTGATTAACATATAAAAATCTTCATCCCAACATAGGATAATATCTCAATATGAGAAACTATATGCAAATAAAACATGGCCACCATCTATTGATAATCAGTACTAGATCAAAGATATGAAACAAATTAAAAACTACTGATCTAGACCACAGGTTGGTAAAATATGGCCACAGGTCAAATCTGGCTCACACAGCTTTTATCTATAGATAAACTTTTTTTAAAACATGGTCACACTCATTTGTTTAAGTATTATCAATGGCTGCTTTTGTGCTACAACTGCAAAGTAGTTGCAACAGAGATAGTATAGCCTGAGAAGCTTAAAATATTTGCTATCTAGCTCTTTTTAGGAAAAAATCTGCCAATCCCTGATCCAGACCAATGTGTCCTAATATTTTTCAGTCAGTGATTCCTATGAATCTTCAAGGATTCATAAAAAAGATAGAAGGAAAAACTCTTATTCACTCATCTAGCTATCCACTAACCCAAACATCTCCGTGTTCATATTCTCAGTACTATTTAATGTAAAAACTATTATTTTGTCTTTGCTCTTACCATTACCATCACAAATAGTACCAGTTTTGATCTTCACCCCTGTGGTGAAAATCTGAGAAGGAAAATGAGAAAACCAAACATATTAAAATATAAAAGGAATTTCAGGCCTTTCGGTTTCAGCTTTGACTGCTGAAAGCTTGCAAGTCATCAGCCTTATCCTTATAATAAGAAAAAGTCTGAATAAACTGAAAATGAAGGACTTTTCTTGGACTCAGCAGAGAACTGAGATTGCAGGGCAAATTGCCACCCTGAAATCTGGAGAGACAGGCAAATTCAGAGTTATAGCCAAGATCTGTTTACCTGGAGCAGCACCCACTAGAGGTAGTAAATGATAGGAACATCTAAATGGTAATTTTGACCAACTGCTGGAGGCTGACTATGGTCTAGCTTAAGAGTGAGAAATTCCTAGGGGCCCCACAGTCTTCAGGGCAACCCCACACTTTTATGGGTTTTACCTCCAGAAACCCCACCATATCCTCATGGTAAAGGACCAAGAAGGATCCCCTCATGACTCTGGCATGAAGAGGAAGAAGGTAACCATTGTGAAATATACCCATGGCATTATCCATAAAAAAGGCATACTCTCCAAAAGAAAAAGCTTAATCAGAGCCTTATATGGTATGGGGTAAAATAGCTCCCTCTAGCCATTTCGTCTCATCTAAGTGGGAGGAGCAAAGAAACACTTGTGAAGTCAAAGCCCAGAGACAAAGGCCCACTAAAAGACTGAGACTTTATCATAAGAATATAGAATGTTTACCCTCCCCCATACTTTACCACAATGCTAACAGGTTACCAGTATAATAGCAGTGGATTATAGCTGAAAGAGCTGCAAGACATAAACTTCAGCTATGGAGGAGTTCTTTAAGGTATCCAAAAAGGATTAGGAGAAAACAACAAGAACACTAGAGGAATCTGATACCTGTTGGCACCTACAGTTACAGTAAACATTAAATGCAGCCTAGTTCTGGCCAAATCAACATAAAACTTCACATTCCAGGCCTATTTATGTGAATTCTTATTATTCAACACATCATGTCCAGCTTTCAATATAAGATTATGAAGCATTCCAAAAGGCAGTTTGAAGAGAAAAAGCCAGTATCAGAATCAGACTCAGATATGATACAGACTACAATTATTAGACAAGCAATTTAAAATAACTATGATTAATATGTTAACGGTTCTAAATGAAAAGGTAGACAACATACAACCAATAGGTGGGTAATGTAAGCAGAGAGATGGAAACACTAAGGAATAATAAAAAGGGAATAGTAAATATTAAAAACATTATAACAGAAATAAAGAATGTCATTGGACGCAGCCTAGAAAAGAGTCAGTGGGCTTAAACATAAGACAATAAAAACTTCCAAAACTAAAATGTTAAAAAAAAAAAAATGAATAAAACTGAATAGGACATCAAAGAAAAGTGGGATAATCTTAATCCTAAATGGAATATCATATGAATAATCGGAATACCAGAAGAAGAGAAAATCCAGCTTAAGAAATATCTGTAGTACTATTTGCCAAGAAATTACCAAAATTAATTACAGATACCAAGCCACATATCCAAGAATTTCGGAGAACACCAACTAGGATAAATACCAAAATTTCTATACCTTTTGCATATTCAAACTGCACAAAAGACAAGACAAATAAAACATCTTGAAAGAAACCAAAGGAGAGGAAAAAAACACCTTATCTATAAATGAACAGGGATAAGAATTACAAAAAATTTCTCATCAGAAACCATGCAAATAAGAAGAGGATAATAAAGTGCTGACAGAAAGAAAAAACCTTACCTAGAATGGTATATCCAGTGAAACTATCAGAAGTAAAGGAGAAATAAAGACTCTCGTAAAAAACAAAAACTGAAGGAATTTATCACGAGTAAACCTGCTCTAGAAGAAATAATTAATAGTAAAAGAGGTTCTTCAGAGAAAAGGAAAATGATATGAGTCAGAAACTAAGTTGTACATAAGAAGAAAAATCAAATAACCAAAGCAAACATGAGCAAAAAACAAAGCTGAGGGATCACACTACCTGATTTCACACTATACTACAAAGCTATAGTAACTATAACAGCATGGTACTGGCAAAAAAACAGACACATCAACCAATATGTACAGTCAATAGATTTTTGACAAAAGCGCCCAGAATACACAATGGGAAACGGATAGTCTGTTCCATAAATGTTTTTGGGAAAACTAAATATCTACGTACAGAAGAAAAAAAATGGACCCTTATCTCATACCATATACAAATATCATCTCAAAATGGATTAAAGACTTAAACGT